AGGTCCCTGTCCTCCCCTGGGTCCCCTCACAGAATTCTTCCTTCCCATATCTCCGAGCAGGACAAAGGTGCCAAGGAATTTGCCCCACTATCATCTAGGTTTGCCAACTCCACCCCAGGGTCCCATCAAAGAGTTGGTGGGGTGGTGACAGGTGCATTAGTGAGGCTGGCTCAGGATGAGAGAAGGGAAGGAGAAAATTCTCTCTGAGGCTAGATTCTCACCCTCCCCAGTTCACTGGAGTCCCTGCTCTCCCCCAGCAAGGATGTTTTGGCCCCAGACCAGGCTTCTGGCTCTTGGACTATACCAATCCACCTTTCAGGGGTTTGGCTTCCCGCCAGCCCCTTTGGCTGGTGCCCCCCTCCATCATCTTGGCACCTGTCCTGATGCTACCAGTCTCTTGTGTCCTCTGTCACTGGCTCCTGTGTTGGTCCCCAGTCTCCCACCACTATCTTTGGGTAGAAAGTCACTAGAAAGACCCGGATTTAACTGTATCATTTGCTAGGTATGGGATCTTGGGAAAATCAGCCTCAAATCCCTCAACTTCAAAGTGGGATGATGACACCTACCCACACAGAATTGTCACAAAGGCCGAACGCATTAGGTGTTTGAATGTGGTCTTTTAGACACAATTATCACCTTCATCCCTTCCACCATGATTTCCTGTGATAGAAGGAAAGCCCCTTGAGGACATGGATGGTTTCTTCATCTTTCTGAGCCCTGGGTCTACACTAGCATACTCCTTGGCTGGTGGTTATGAGACAACCAGCTAGGTCGGAGAGAGGGCTCAGAGGAAAACAGAGCAAGGAGGCTGGTGGTGTCCAAGGGGACATGGAGAAGGCAACTGGGGAGAAGGGACCAGGGAGAAGCTGAGGGTGATGTACCAGAGAGGGAGGGCTCAGCTCTGAGGAAGCCTTTCCAAAAACGCAGGACATGGGACACGATAGCAGGGAATTTGGAAAAGCGGAACGTGTGCACTGTTTTCAAGATTCAGCTCCTAGAGATTACCCAGCCCAAATCCTTCCTTTATGGGAGGGAAAGAAAGGTCCTGGTGGGGAAGCTTTTGCCCAATAATCTGTAAGGAGCAAACGGCAGAGACAAGAGTCTCATTAGGAGGGGCGCCTGGGTGGCTCAGTGGGTTAAAGCCTCTGCCTTCAGTTCAGGTCATGATCCCAAGGTCCTGGGATTGAGCCCTGCATTGGGCTCTCTGCTCAGCAGGGCCCCTCTGCCTGCTGCTCTGCCTACTTGTGATCTCTGTCTGTCAAATAAATAAATAAATAAATAAATAAAATCTTTAAAAAAAAAAAAAAAAAGAATCTCATTAGGAGTCAGATAGGCCCGAGTTTGATTGCTGGTTAGAAGCTGTACAATCCTGGGCGAGACAGTTTCTCATTCTTCAGCCACAGTTTCCTCCTTGCTAAAAACGGGGATGGTAAGAATTAAATGCGATGACGCCTGTGAAATCCGAGGCCCACGTCCTTATCCTCAGGTATGGGGAAGAGGCTACGTGAATGTGGCTGGAGTTTCTCTCCTTCTTCCCATGCCCAGCGTATCTGTCCTCCGTTTGAGGCCACTCTGTGACCCTTGTGGTCAAAAGTCACAGGGTTAGCTGTATGGGCACTTGGGGTTTGTCAGTCACAGACCCGGGGGCTTTCAAAATGTGGGTAAGCCTGCATTTTTTTATCAACCGCTCAGTTGAGAACAGGAAAAAAAAATGCTGTCAGCTTCAAGGATGAAGGGAAAATAACAGTCAGGGAACTAAAAGAAAGGATAGAAAAGCTGATGATTTGGAAATCTAAACACTTGGCTCCAGTCCTCTGGGGGTGGGGGTAAGGGTGGGGGAGAAGGACTGAACAGGGGATTGGGAACTCTTCTGGGGACTCGTGCTGCCGCAAAGACACTCAGAGACCTTGAGCACTCAGTCTGTCCTCGGTCCTCTGTGCCTCTGCTCCTTATAAGCAGGAGGAAAGGGAAGAATGAGGGAGATGCCTGCCAGGTGTCTGCCAGCCAGGAGATCTGTGTCTGGACCTGAGGAGGCTCTTCTTTGCAGTCCTAGCCTGTGCAGATGGGGAAATGACTTCCCTTCCCAGCTCCCAACCCTTGTGCCCCTTGGGGATTTCACACAACACAGAAGGTGCTCTCAGAGAGCTGGGGGTTTCTAGGTCACCTTTTGTTTGTAGTTCCTTTAAAACTCAGAGACAAACCACCCCCTAATTCACGCACTGCTGGGAAGGGGAATCTGCCTTTTAAAAATCCAAAGGAAGCCATTTAACCAAGTTGGTAACCATTGTGACTCATAATAAGCTATTCTCTGTAAAAAAAAAAAATGAGTCAGAATGACTTTCCAGGAAGTTTGGTTACTTTAATTAGCTACCTCTTTTTTCTTGCCCTTAAAAACGTACAGTAATTTGCTGATCACCTAAGTATGGATGTTAACCGGCCACGGCGCTGAGTCCCTAGAAGGGAAGACTCTAGGGGTGGAGAAGTTTCCAGACAGCACAGAGCATGGACTTCTTGGTCTTGGAGTTGAGGAAGACCCACACAGAATCCCTTTTTGAATGGGAAATGAGAAAAATCAGCCTCCGAGGCTGACCCACTTGGCCTGACCCAACGGGAGAAGGGCATCGCAGCTACCTGGGGTCACAAAGTGCTCAGCTGTGCTGCTCCTTCTGCAAACTACAGAATCACAGGTCCTCGACGATGCCATTGGATGTGATGATGACCAGAGCTGCCATGCGTCAAGCGCTGTGCTAAGGGCTCTAAACATCATCTCAGTGACATTAATTGTCCCTCTCTACAGAAGAGATGAGGTTAAGCTAACTTAGCAGATCATACAGCTGGGGAGCAGCTAAGCTGTGATTTTATTTTATTTTATTTTAAGATTTTATTTATTTATTTGACAGACAGAGATCACAAGTAGGCAGAGCAGCAGGCAGAGGGGCTCTGCTGAGCAGAGAGCCCGATTCAGGGCTCGATCCCAGGACCCTGGGATCATGACCTGAGCCGAAGGCAGAGGCTTTAACCCACTGAGCCACCCAGGTGCCCTAAGCTGTGATTTTAAATCCATACCCTTCAAAGATCATCTGTTCCTGCCTCCTAAGGAGGCAAAGTGGCTGGGATAAGGTCACGTACGGAACTGGGAGTAACTGGTATGACGATCAGATTCCCAAAGTGCTAACTTATGTCCGGATTCTTTCTCCTTCGACTTAGTCTATGCACAGCTCGCAGAGTTCCAGAGAAGAGGCCAGAACCTGGGTGAATCATCTCTAACAGCTTCATCTTCAGAACCCCCACCTAGGACCTGAACTCCCTTTCTCTCCTGGCTCACCTTTTAGGGTTTCATGTAGCTCCTTCCCACTCCCAACACGGTTACCCTGACTTGACCGCTTAACTAGTCGCAGAATACCAGTGTGGTCTTGTTGCCACATGGCCACTCTCTTAGCTCTGTCTGCACACACCTGGGGTAGTATGCCTGGCCCAGGTGAACAGAACTCTTGATGCTGCCAACAGCCTATTACCAGGAAAGGGCAGCCCAGGGTCTCCTGCACAGCGGATTCTGGAGTCTGATTCCTCTCCAGGGCAGAGTGTCAGAGCCATGACTGCCTATCACTTTCCAGCTGTACTGATTTTATGGCTTTTTTTTTTTAATGATTTTATTTAGAGATGGAGAGACAGAGAGCGAATGAACAGACAGAGAGAGAGAGAATCCCAAGCAGACTCCATGCTGAGCACAGAACCCCATGCAGGGCTGGATCCCACGACCCTGAGACCATGACCTGAGCCGAGATCCGGGCTTGGGTGCCTCACCGACTGAGCCACCCAGGCAACCCCAGCTGAAACTGATTTTAAAGCCTTGTTCCAGTTCTCCAGGCTGGAGGAAATTCTGTTCTCCGCTGGCGAGAACAAGTATCTCCCTCCACAGACCTCAGTATAACATACTCAGCAATTAACTCAATTGAAAAATGAGCACAACCGGCCCACACTCTCCCAGCCCAGCTATCGCTACTCACAGAGAAAGACGTAGAACCTACAGCTCTCATGTGAATTGCTACCTGTGCAATAGGATTGTTTTAATATTAAATTGGGGAGCAGAAAAGTTTATGGTAAATGTATCCTGCAGATGCCCTCCCCAGGACCCCCAATTATCTTGCCCCTGACCCAAGCTTCAAGAATGGGATTAGACTGCACCTGAAGACTTGGGAAAAGAGTTTAGCTCTGGGGGACATTGATTCTCTTCCACTTCTAATTTCTATGTCTCTAATGATCCAGATGAAAGACTAATTGAGGTCTTGTTGGAAGGCTATTAAAGTTATTTGGTGGTGTTACAATTTATACTCATGTTTCTTTAAGTTCTTTTTAATTATATGGAGCTTTCAAAGCAAAGCTTGGACTGTGGAGTTAAAAGCAGAGAGCTAGGAAACTTTCTTCTCAATTCTTTCCTGCCCTCATTCTCTTCTTCACAAAGCAAAGTCCTCTTCCAGGCTCCGAGCCTTTCTTTCTGGGTCTCTTTACCACCCACATGCATGTAATTTGGAAGAGGAAAGCTTGTGCACGGGCCTCTTGGGCTAGTTCCTTGAGGGCCTGTTGAGAAACCTGGGGTTAAAAGGCTTCAGTCCCCATCTACAGAAGACACACAGTGCTTTCTCTCAGTCAGAGCGGCTAGGACCACAGCCTGCTGCTTCCATAGGTGTTGGAAAGGAGCATCAAGAAGTTGATCTCCTCCCTAAGTTTCCGGATTCCATTTTGCTTTTCAGGATCTGGCCCTTTCCTAGCCTAGTTCTGGAGCTTTAGGCCCCCTTTAGACCACTATCTACTGTTCGAAGACTTCAGGGTCACATCCTATGTCTCTACGGGAGTTCCTTCATTGCCGGAGACCCAGCTTTGGGGTCTGATTGGCTGAAAGATGGAGCAAGAAAAGATACCGCATTGTTCCATGACAATTTGCAACAACTTGCTCCCACCCGTGCTTGCTGGCTTCATTCCCCAGAAGAGAAGACCCTTACCTGTCTCCACCTGGCCGAGGGCACTGCGAGCATCCGTGGAGTCTGCTACATCACCACTCATCTTGATATCTGCAGGGAAAACACAAACTGATTTTAATGACAGGTCACAATTTTTCTTGCTATGACATATGTGGCTTTAACTAAACAGCAAAGATGAATGTGTAATTACAACAACCATCAGACTTTCAAATTCCTGACTCCCAAACATACAACCATTAGAATATTCATAAGCTCAGGGCACGAATCCCCTCCTCCCAGGCGCGCCTCCTTTCCCTGGCCTTTCTTTCCCCCTTCTCTGCTGCTACTCTGGGATCTCTCACCTTTTGCATCATTCATTGTCACTTCCTTCAATCACCAGGCTCAGTTAGTAAAAATTTAACAAGGGGAGGGGTACGGAGAGGTGGGGATGGCGGGGTGGGGAGCGGGTGGGAACCAGTTCCCATTTTGAATCCTCATTGCCTTTGGGACTTGAGGGATTTATTTTGCTTTTTTTTAAAGTAGCATAAAAAAATATCTGTCTCCCTTCCCCTACTCCCCCTCCCCATAATAACTCTACCCTGGGAGGTAAGAGCACCCTTGAACCCAGGCTTGCCCTTCTCACCTTTCTTGCCCAATTCCTGCCCCCTGCTCTCTGTCTGGTTCTCAGAGGTGAGCCCACTGTCTGGGGATCAAATCCTAGCTCCTGTGTGGCCCTCCGGAGATCCTTCTCCTTTGGGGATCCTTACCTTCTTTCCTACTCCTTCAATGTGCTCAGGGAGAAAGGGATGGTGGGCGGGTCAGTGCCCCGCAGAGACAGAATACCTACACCAGGCCTGATCTCAGCCGCCTAGTGCTGCTGGCCCGGCCTCGCTGCCCTGCTTCATTTCAATAAATTAAACATTTACCCATAACAGACAGCTGCCACCACCTAAGAGGCCCTAAGTCTCCTCCAGGATCAGCAGAGAGAAGCAAAGAGGCAACTTTGAACTAACTCCCTCTCTCAGCTCCTCTCCTTATTAAACCACCCAAATACTGAAGCCGTTAAAGACAGAAGAATATTTTATTCAAATCGTGTTGACCCCCCCACCCCCACCCCCACCCTCTTCTCGGGGGTAGCACTTTAACTCTTTCAAACCAGATAAAGTCTTGGTGAGGCAATTTGCATCCCCCGCTCCCCAGCCAATCCCAGTTGAGCATGCAGTCTTAATTTGCATCAGGTAATCAGGCAGTTGGCAGTCTGGACGCCCGAGGTCTGGAGATGATCAGGATGAGGGAAAAGCGTGGACCTCCACCCGGGGAAAAGCGGGAAAAGCAGGGAGAACCGTCCCCCCCACCCCCGGGCATGATGTGTGTGGCTCTGGCAGAGATTTAAATTATGACCCCTGGGGGTGTAGTGACTGCGGTGTGGGAGGGGTGACTGCCATGCCAAGCAAGAGAGAGACTGAGGCTCAGGGGCTCTCCAGCTCTTAGAACACTCCAGAAACAGGATGGAGTAAGCAGCCATGGGAGCCACTGTGATCTGAGGAATATTTTTGAGACCCACCAAGGGAGGACTCCCAGGTAAATCCCAGGAGCTCCGTGTCCTGCGCAGTCACAGACCTCTAGGGGGGACCTTGCCACCGTACCGCAGCGCCTGTCCCACTATACTACATTTAGGAAGGCATTTCTTGAGCCTAGTCTAAGCCCTTCCTGCTGTAGTTTGAGACTTTCTAGAGAGACAGTCATATGTGAATATCAGAACTAGTGTGGGTCCCCTGGACACAGTCGCAAAGGGCTTCGGCTGCTGCTCACCTTCTGCTCCCATAGAGAAATGGGCTTTGCTTCGTAGGAGCCCTGGAGCTGGGCACAGCCTAACACAGATCTGCTCAGCGCACGCTTCCCCCATAGGGATTCTTCAACGGCACTGGGGAAAAAGGCAGAGACGGGCCCCTCAGTTTTCTAAACGGCCTCAGTAGCGCCTAGAGTGGCCTCAGAGCATTGGTTCTGGTGGCCCACAGACCTAGATTTAGCTATGGCTAACTAGTGGGGGACCCTGGCCACGTATAGGAACCTCAGTTTTCTCATCTAAAAATTGGGAATAATGAAGAGCACCTGGGTGACTCAGTCAGTTAAGCGTCTGCCTTCGGTGCTTGTCATGCTCCCAGAGTCCTAGGATGGAGCCCTGCATGGGGCTCCCTGCTCAGCGGGGAGCCTGCTTCCGCTCCTCCTGCTTGTGCTCTCTCTCTGTCAAATAAATAAATGGAATATTCTTTAAAAAAATTAAAAACAAAAATTGGGACTAATGATACTTCCCAGAGTTCTTTTAAGGAGCAAACGGAATACTGAACGAAAAGTGCCTAGCACAGTTCCTGGCGCAAAGTAAGCTCTCGATAGAAGAATGAACTAAAGAGGTACATAGGTTTCTGGGTTAGTCCCCTTCTCCCAGAACAAGAAATAGCTTTGGTTTTCTGTCTCAGCACTACCATATTTGTCTTTTACCTGGGAAGCCATAGGCGTTCTCCAAATTCTGACTTCACGGGGAAAGAGCTCCTGAGGACTGTATGGGTTTAAGAGGCAGTAAGGCTGGGATGATGACCAGATTCTCAAATCAACTTATTTCAAATTCCTGATATTTAAGAAGGGTAACTGTTTAGCTAAACCACAATTTCATGCCTGTAACCCAGACTCCCTCTGACACCCTTTCCCTGCATCGCCTTTAAATATAGCCAAAAGCCATCTCTCACTCAGCCTTTGAATTAGCTTTAAAGGTACTCCTAATCATGTCTAAAATTGACTTTTGAGGGAGGCAAAGGCCCATACTCTGCCAGGACATCTTCTCCTTTGATGTACCCATTATGGGAGTGACATGGTGACACTTTGGGATTGGACAGGGATTGGAGCCTGGATGGAGGGGCAGGCTGAGATGATCTACAGAAGCTTTTCCTAAGTCCCACAGGATGCTAAGAGACTAAGAACCAGTTCTTGTGGGTAGGAGGCTGAGGCCGATGGGTGGGACGAACTCTTGGGTCTCAGTCTGAAAATGGGCCAACACCGAAACTCCCTGAGACGCCATAGCCCTTTGCCTGTCTGACAGCACTTGCCAGGGGTGAATGAGGGAGGTGTGGGGTGGGGCTCGTCTTCTCAGCTCTTCTTATCTCGACAGGCAGGCGACTGAGTAGGCTTCTTGCCATCACTCCCTTCCCTGGGGAGGCTCAGCTGCTCTGCGTAAGATTCCAGATTCCACACACAGACCCTCACCTGCGTCCCCCGCACCAGTACACTCTGAAGCTGGGGCAAGACACCGGCTGCTGGCCTTGCCCTCCCTGTGCCTTGGCTTGACCCACAGCAGCCCCTCTTCACACATCCGTGAACCAGGATGCATTTGTGAGGCTGAAGGAGCAAAGTCCAAGGCTTCCCCAGGCTGCAGACAGAGAGTCCCCATTGTACTGAACGCTATGCTGGGGGGGGGGGGGGGGGGGGGGGGGGGGCTAGGGAGCCTACCCTTCTCTCTCCTATTGTCCATCTTCATCTCTCTGAAGGGACTGGAGCTGCCTCCTGACTCCCTCCCTTCCTCACAGGCTCACCAGTGGGGGCACTTTTACCAGAAGGAAACCAAGGGGCCCACCAGTCCTCCTTCTGAGCTAGTCGTGACTCCAACTGTCTCCTGGAATAGACTTCTGTCACTTCTTCAAGATGAAGCCACTTCCTCTCACAATGAGGCCTTCCAACCTGAATGGTATTCCTGAGCTGTAACTGGTATTAGTCTGTGAGACTTGATCCCAACCTTGATAGGCAACAGCTCACAGTGAGGAGAAAGACAGAAAAAGAGATGCCCTGAGGCCAACCAGGTGTTGCCCTCCGGCCAGATTCCCACTGTTTCCCTCTGTTTTCCTCTTTTCTCTCTCCCCAGCTGTCTGTCTGACTCTTGTCTACCCTTCTGCCTGTTTTTGACCTGGGAGCAGGGAGGCCCCCCCCACACCTTGGCTGGGGTGCCCCCGTGTCTGGTGACCTCATGGCTGCTCAGGTGTTCATGCTCCTGGAGAGAAATGCTCTATAAAGTACAAAGTGCTCAGACCCCAGGCTGACCTGAGTCACGGCTTGCACCCAGGTCATCTGTGTGGAAAGATGGGCCGACTCGGGCGACACACAGCTCGTGGACCTGAGTGTGGGACCCAGTGAGAACCTGTGCCCTGTTTTGTGTACTCTTTCTCCCTCTCTTTCCCTCACCCAAACTGTTCCAGTAAAATCAGTGGAGGAGGAGTCCCCAAGGGCCCAGGACTGGAAATTCACAGGTAAAGTACTGTTTGTGAGGAAACAGCAGGACACAGAATTACTGTGTGTGAGGGGAGGGCAGGGGAGATAAGACTCAGAAGAGACCAAATTTCTACCAAGAGGGTCCTGGACTGAGGTTTCTCCAGAGAGGAACCTGTAATGAGACACTCCACAGAGGGACCCTCCCTCATAGACCCCATGGCAGGGGCCACACTGAAAGACCCCACAGGATGACCTCAGACCAAAAAGCCCGAGAAGACCTAGCAAGGAAAGCCCTCAAATGGAGACCCCGTCAGAGATCCACAGAAAGTCCCAAGACAAGAGATATGTCTGAGGTGCCACCAAAGGGGAACCAGACACCACTGAGGGGCCGAGACCGAGAGGGCTCTCAGGGTGGTGCGGGCAGACTAAAGAAGTGGGCTGGGGAAGGGCAGCAAGTGAATGTAGACGAGTGAGTCAGGTAACCCACCCAAGGTAGACGGAAACCCTCCCCTGGGTTTAGCTCAATCTCCCCTTTTGCATTCATAGCCCCTGCCTCCAGGAGACGGTGAGGGAGGTGTCAGCCTGGAGTTTCCTCCAAGGCCAGGGTGTGGGGGGCTTGGCCCTCTCGATGCTCTCCTCTCTGCCAGATCCTCTCAGCCCCTAGGCATTTCCCTGCTGGGTCCCAGCTGTCCCACCTCCTCCCACTTCCCCCAGAGTGGGAGCCTCCCATAGACAATGAGGTGGAAACCCCCTAGGAAGTCTCTGATCTTGTCCCTAAAGAACTTCCTGCCGAGGGCCCACCTTTCTGAGGTCTTGCTTCCCCTCCGGCCTAGGCCTTCTTGATGGGAAGTGAAGTG